TTTCATCATTTTCTCTATGTATAACATGAATGCAAGCCAATGTCCTATTAAAAAGTCCTCCATGAAGGCGTCCTTGCCTTTAAACAGGAGCTTTGCTGTAATCAAATAAATCAAACAAATCAACATACTGCATAATTACACACTTAATGAGAAAGGTGCCCAGAAATTCAGTATCAAATCCATGAAATCATAGCATTTAATATTTACTAATTTGTAAATGGCAATATTTAATAACTTGCGAGCGTCAGCACTTTTGGATACACATGTAAAAATAGAACTATGCTGGTACTGCAGTTCTCTGTAATATATAGTATTCTACGTTTACAAATAAATAGTTTAAAGAGTTAAAAGTGCATCCTTTTTATTTTTTATGGTGTCAGAAGTATTTTGCTTTCAAAATAGTTTAAAAACCAGAGCTAACGAAATTTAATGGAAATCTTGCATCAGACTAGCAGAGACAGTTGCAGTCATTTGAAATATATAAAGTAACTAATGGATTACATAATGAAGAGAAGGTAAGAGTTAATATTTTTCTTCGTGTAATAGGAATTTGCAGTTTTGAAATATACGATACACTGCCTGTAGATGAAGGTAAAAAAACTAAATTAAATAAAATTAAGGACAAAATTTACGAAATATTGTATACCTAAGAAAAATATTACATATGATAGACATTTGTTCTTTACTAGAAATTAAATTGTGTCGGAAACCACAGATGAGCATGTAACTGACCTTCGAAATAAAACTAGAACATGCAAGTTTGCACAATTAACGAATAGTCTTATAAAGGATAAAACTGTTTGTGGTGTTAAATATAATATAGTGAGAGCTAGATTATTGCAAGAAACAGAATAACATTAGAAAAAGCTCTTTATATATTCAGATCTGCATAAATAAGTGCACATCAAATGAAAATAATAAATCATGAGGAAACTATTACAAACTTACTGGAAAAGAAAGTAAGCAAACATTATAAAGGAGGTAAATATTGAGAAATAAGCGACAAAAGTTTGTTCTAAATGTGAACATTTCATGAGTATCGAAAGTGTCCAGCATATGGAAAAATCTGTTATAAGTGTAAAAAAGGCAAATCATTTCGCTAACCTGTGTAAAAGGTATAAAATAAAAAATAAAGCTATCAAGGTAAAGAAAACAGAGAAACACATTAAATTACTAAATCGTGACTTTGAGGAAGAGTTAGAATTTTATGTAGGTATATTGCACTTCAGTTCTGATAACAAAGAAGAGAAATTGACTGTTAATGTAAATAAGAATAAACTTAATTTGCAGTCAGAATACTGGAGACGCGTGCAGTGTTATTTCTACAAGCAAAATGAAAATGCTAGGTGTTCCGATACAGAAGTCTGAAATTAAAAGTTTGGTTACATTTTCTAGGAATAAAATGGTTACTATAGGAAAAGTAGTACTTAACTGCCAATATGGAAAAAATAGTTATGTTGAGGAATTCCAAGTTATTGACAAAGAAGTACCTTCTATATTAGGATTAAAATCATGTTTACAGCCATGTTTGATTCAAAAAGTGATGTCTGTTTACACAGAAGACTTACTGGAGGAATACAAAGATGTATTTGAAGATTAGTCTGTTTGAATGGAGATTGTAAAATTCAGTTAAAACAAGATGCAATACCAGTAATTAATCATCCAAGAAAACTACCTATAGCTATACAAGATGAAGTGAAGAAAGAACTATAAAGAATAGAAAAATTTAAATGTTATTGAGAAAGTAAGAGAACCAACTGAATGGGTAAATTCACTGGTTACTGTTGTCAAACCTAACAAAATAAGAATATGTTTAGACCCTAGAAATTTAAATAAAGCAGTAAAATGTAGATGTCCTATGTTAATTGTAGATGTTGTCACTAAAATTCCAAAAGCAAAAATATTTTCTGGTTTAGACACTAATAGTGCTTTTTGGCAAATCCAGCTTGACAAAGAAAGTAGTAATTTGTGACATTCAGTACACCTTTTGGTAGATGCAAATTTAAACTAATTTACAAGGTTACCATTTGGCATAAGTTCAGCTCCAGAAATTTGCCAAAGAACATTAAACCAAATAATAAAAGGTCTAGAAGGTGTTAAATGCATTATAGATGATATCTTAATATCTAATGAAAAGAAATATGACATACGACTTAGAAAAGTACTCCAGAGAGCATGAGAAAAATAATCTGAAGTTCAATAAAGCTAAGTATAAAAAAGGTAATAGTGTGAATTATATAGGGCATGAATTAAGTGAAAATGGCTTAAAACCTGATTTTTCTGAAGTGAAAGCAATTGATAAAATGCCACAACCTATAGATGTGCCTTCTCTACAAAGTTTTTAGGAATGATTTAATTACTTAGCCCAATTTATTTCTAACTAGTGCACCATTAAGATAGTTACTTGAGAAAAATGTTCTCTAGTACTGGACTGAAAAACACCAAAAAGGTTTCAAAACACTTAAAGAATTGGTTGTAAAAGCACTATTAAAATTCTATGATGTTAATAAGGATGTAACTCTTTCAGTAGATGCAAGTTCAGAATGATTAGGTGTTGTTTTACTATAATATAACCAATTGCTTATGCTTCCAGAGCTTTAATGAAAAGTCAGAAAATTATGCTCAGATAGAAAAAGATAGAAAAAAAGAATAAAAATAACTCAGATTGAAAGAGAACTTAAAGCTATTGCTTTTGAATGTTCTAAAAATCATGGAAAATGTATTACAGTTGAAACTGACCATTGACCATTAGAGCTCATAACTAAGAAACCTCTGTTTAAGGCACCTCAGCAGTTGCAAAGAATGGTGTTAAAGTTACAAAAAGGGGAAAGACTTACTAATAGCAGACAGTTTAAGTAGAGCATATTTGAATGCAACAGAAGAAGATAATGATGAAGATATAAAAATTTGTATGCTGATTCCAGCAGCTGATGACAAAATTTATGAATTAAAAAACGAAAATAAATGCTGTACTATAATTCTTTAAGATATATATTCTGAGAGGTTGGCTAGAAAGGAAACATCAGCTGGAATCTCAAGTCAAAGTATTTTGGGACTATAGAGATGAGTTGAAAATAGAAAATGACTTTTCAAAGGAGGAAGAGTAATTATCCCTTTATCTGTGCAAAAAGAAATGTTAAATTTAGTTCATGAGGGACACTTTGGATAGAAAATTGTAAGAAAAGAGCTAGAAATCAGAGGAACAGAAGAAGGAGTTAATGCATAGAAAACAGAGTGTAAAAAAGTATGATATCAAATATTCTCAAGCAAAGTTTAGAAGATCAACTACCAACCTCTGCTAACTCAGAAACAAGGGACAGTGAGCAAAGAACTGGATGTTGTGAAGTGATCAGAAAGCTGGCCATGTATTTTCACTGATTTTGTACTCTTAAAAAAATGAGGGGAGGGGGAGATTTAATATTTAATAATTTGTAAATGGCAACATTTAGTATTTAGTAACTTGTGAATGACAGCACTTTTGGATACACATGTAAAAATAAAACTATGCTGGCATCACATCTCTCTGTAATATATAATATTCTATGCTTATAATAAATAATTTAAATAGTTAAAAGTGCACCTTCTTTATTTTATATCTTAACTTTTTATTCTGTTCCTCTGATATTCTCTTCAGTAGCTGAGCTGTTTTCTTTAGTGTCTCTGATGGCTTTTCTATTTCTTCTAAATACTGTTCCTCCTGATCTCAGTGAGAGTGATTAGAAAGCTGGTCAGGTATTTGGACTAAGAAGGGGTGGGGGAAAAAGGAGGATGTAACATGTAATATTTAGTAATTTTTAAATGGTAACATTTGGCATTTAGTGTTTAGTAACTTGCAAATGGCAACACTTTTGAATATATATGTAAAAATAGAACACTGTTCTCTGTAATATATAATATTCTATGATTATAAATAAATAGTTTAAGCAGTTAAAATGTGCACCCTCTTTATTTTATATTTGTATTATTGGTTATGGTCACAAACTACCAGCATTCCTGTACAGGGAAAAAAAAAAAAAAAAAACTCATGCCAAAAAATGGTGGTTTTTGAAAAGATGTCATCATCTGGGCTCAGCAGAATGCATGGGAAAGGAGTGAAGGGCATCTGGGAACGCTGACCTAGAGTGCTTCTGTAACCAATCCCCAGCATGCTAATTCTTAAAGTTCCTGTTATGAAAGGATTGAAAAAATGTTGCTTTGTAATCAGTGTTGGTCATTTCAGAATGTATGTTGAACTAACTTTAGTATATTTATTATCGAGCCATGCAAGGCTTGTGTGCATGTGAGGTATGAAGCTTATTATATAGCTTTAGATCATCATACTTTGACAAAATTCAGCATAAGCTGAAAGGGCACTGGTTTCAACTCTTATTCAATGGATTTCCAAAACCTGGAATGATAACTGAGAGCATAATGTTAAAATATTTTAAGCAGTGCTGACTAGGGAATGTTCTTAGCTTATTGTGAAAAGATACAAGCAAAGACGTTTCTGACCCCTCCCACCAAATCAAAGAATGCTAGGGATTGTAAAAGTACTGGCAGTGATGCTGATGAAAGAGTTCTTGTAAATTAAACCATGAGCTATAATTATTTAAATGACAAATGAGAATTGTAATTCTTGTATTTTTAGTGGTAAATGTAATAGCAATTTAGTAATAATGTAAGTACTCTAGATTCTAATATAACATTTTAATTAAATACTGGTATTATATGCTTCTTAAATTGTAAGGTGTTTCTGATATAAATTCTATTTTTGATTCGAAGAAATATAGTGTTTGTATATTATCATAAAAGTTATACTTTTTAATTGATAACCATTTTTTAAGGATTAGAATATAACAAATTTATAATAGGATATTTATCTGCAATAATAAATGTGACATAAAGTAGATTTTTAAAAATGGATTTCTGTAAATATTATAAGTATCTAAGCTATTCTTATGGCATTATATGGATTGAGCAAAAATGCTGCAACTGATTAATTATATTTTGAAAATTCTTAGATGATCAAAGTATTTGGAGATCTGCATCCTTATACTTTCTATGTAACATATGGTCATTCTGAGGATTCATTTATGAGCAAAGATGCAGATTACTTGGAAAGCAAGACTAAAAAGTCTGAACCTTTTGATAAACTTATTAAAATGTGCGATGCTGACAAAGAAGCAGAGGGAGAATTTCTTTCTGTAAGTAATTAACCTTTCAACATAAAATTTAAATTAAAGACAGCTATTTTTGGTTTGTGTTTAAATATTTTGTTTCAGTGTTCTGTTTTTATTCATCATTGCATTTTTAGTATCATAATGATAGGTACTTCTTGATTATCCACTCTCCCACCAGAAACTGATAAAAAAGTATTCAAGAAACACTGCAGTATGCAAAACATTTTGAAGCTTACCAAGAAGTACTTAGTAGAAAGAATACCATTTCTTTGGAGGCTGTCGTAAGTTCATGAATGTTGTCCAAAGCTACCAAAGAGTTCGCAAATTTTCAGTGGGAGTGAGGGATATCAGAAAGTACTATATTTTGTAATGGAGGAGATTGATTTATTTGATTTCAGATTGTATGTATATTGAAAGAAAAGGAGCCAAGGTGCAAAGTAAGAGGGCCATTTTGAAATTGTAATCAAGAAAATATCACTTATTTTTGACATTTTGGGAAATTTAAAATTTCAGGGCCAAATCTGTAATGCATCAAGCATTAAAATATTGCAGAAATATACTTCCAGATTATTTTCAAAATTATTGAAATATTAATTATTCAGATTTTTGCTAAATTATGTTAGTTAATCGAATAATAACTCTGGAAATATATATGTGCAAGTGTTGCAGTATAGGTTTTTAAGAAGTTTCATATATATATTGCATCTTTAGCAGTCAAGTAGTTCAATAAAATGGAATTAAACATTTATTTTAGAAAACATTGTAGAAAATTCATGAAGGTTTGGTAATATTGGAATAAACATAATTAATCAGCAATAAAGATTCTTAAAACTTTTCTTTTTAGATATTGATCTTTAAAACATGTTATATTTTGTGCATATTTTAATATTTTTAAGGGTACCTGACTCCTCATCACTGAGCACGTATCAAACATATAAAAACAATACATTTAAGTAAATGACCTAACATTTAACTAAATATCTTCTAGTGTATCACCATCCTACCAGATGGAAAACCTGAGCATGGAAATGGACAGTGTTAATTATTGTGACTAATCGAGATTTACAGAATACAGGGCTCACATAAATACACAATGTCCATTACATAAATGTACAAGGCTCTAATGAGTACATTCATTATAAAACCTAATATACTCATTGCTTGTTTTCATACAATATTTATATGTTTTTTACATGAGCTGTAATGATTTCAGTGTGTGTCCATATGTACCCAATAATATTGATTAACATTATGTGCATGGTGAGATTGAATTCAAACAAGAGTGTTAAACATTATACAGTCCACATTTACAGTTCTGTTACAGATATATATATATAATTAACTTTTTAAAGCCAGCAGTACATCTGTTGTACCAAGAAAATTATTTCCTTTTAAGCCAGCGACAGTACAACTGTCATTGCAGCATTTCTATCCCCCTTTTAGAGTAATCGCCTATCTTTAGATCACTGGTGGAACAGTTTCACAGTTCAGAGAAGCTATGTTTTGGCGAAGGTTTCGTCTTGCGCTAATCGCTAATGTACTTAAAACAGTGTAACATTTTAAAATAAGCATAACATTTTAAAAGCTATCATTCTTTCTAACATTAGAGCATTTTCTTATGATTTTCAGTATAACATTTTTCTTACACTCTTATTCAGTTTTTGTAATGGCACCTCGTTTCAAAGGTCTCAGTCAGAACGAAATTAATAAGTTGTTGAGAGATTTAGAAGAGGAAACTTTTGGTGATACATATTTGGATTGTTCAGATGCAGTAGAAATACATCCTTAATCAGTCTTTTATTGAAGATAAAGTTCTGATGTCTTTGAAAGCAACATTAAGAATTTATTTGGATGGAGACAGCCAAATGAGCATGACATATTCACCTTTACTGGTATTCCTGGTATAAAGACTGAATTTTCAGAAACTCATCTTGTTTTTGATTATTTTAAATTATACTTTTCACTTGAATTGTTTAGAATTTTAACAATAGAAACTAATTGATATGCTTCTCAAATCCTAGAATAGCGGCCAAATATAAGCAGAAAAAGAAAGCAGGAAAGTGACTAAACACCAGTTACACATAATGAGCTCCAGAAATTTTTTTGATTAGTCCTACTCATGAGACATACTGAAAAAGCTAGCATTCATGATCATTGGTCCACAGATGATTTAACTGAAAATCACTGTTTTAATTTTTTTGCAGCCAAAATTATTCAAAATACATCTTCCATTGGTGAATTAATTTTCTAAAAGCGTTTCATATTAAAAAAAAAATCTTTCTGTTCTAGTTAACGACCCTAATTCCAATCCATCTTTGCCTTCAGCCTTTAAAGAAATTATGTTTTAGTTCTGGTTTCATCAACAGATGGCGCCATTGGCTTATCTGCTGTCCAGGCTTTCTTATGTTATCTAATTATTATACAGTCAAAAGTCGTTAATCCGGACTTGTCGGGACTTCGGCAATTCCGGATTATCGATTTTTCCGGATTATAGATCATCAGTTTAAATCTGGTAAGATGGCATGCAGAAATTATGAAATTAAAAATATGAAACCGTAATTTATGAAATAAAGAACAATTATGATCTAAAGGATATCAAAATTTACAAAAAAAAAAAAAAAAAAAAGCTTAATATTTATTTGTTTACTTTATTAAACATTTGTTGTTTAAGTTGCTTCATTTTATGTGATAATACTTTCTCTTTAATTCTATAAACAGACATAATTTCTTGTTCAGTTACGAAGTTCCGCTGTTCAAGTCCTATAATTGCTGTGTCAAGAATACCGACTAATTTGTCAATCGAAATTTTTTCGTTTTCAATAACCTCTGTATCACTTTCTTCTTTATCGGAAGCGAATTATAATGACGAGGAATTGATTTAAATCATATCAAAGACGGAGTAACATCGAGATGAAATACTACTTTAGTAAGGAATTATAAGCCAAATAAAATAAAACATCTGCTCTGAGATAAGGATAGTGCTGACAGATTAACTTCCAATTCTTCGGCGTTCCCCCCCCCCCCCCGGGCCGCAGAGCAGCGTGAATTGGATAAACAGATTTCGAATGGTTTTGAGAAACGAAGGATATGCCTTTATCCATTTTGCAGGAATTCCACTTTTTGTTTAATGGACTTCTAACATACTTTCGCTTTGTAGATCTTTTACATATTAGTAAATACATATCGGAAATTCTAACTTGACATAATCGAAAGTTCAAGCTTACTTTTATAAAATTGCTCTAACAGTCGTGCAAAAAATAATAAGCCGATCCATTCGAAGATTCAGGAACAACGCAATTTGCAACATTAACTGAATTAGATAATTTTAGCTTAGCTAATACCGTCCGTTATACATTAAACGTGCAAGCGTAAACGTATTACGCACATGCACACACGCATATTCGCACACACGCAAAAGTCTTACGCGTCAACGCGACGCATGCGCAAATAGTTTGTAGCTTTGAGGTCCGGATTATAGATCATTCCGGATTATGGGTGTCCGAATTAACGACTTTTGACTGTATCTTATCTCGTTGATTTGCACTTTTGCAGTTGAGAATGATGGTTTGGTAAAACCATGAAAACTAGCCCTGTGAAAATTTGAAAATATAACACTGATTTTTGTTGTTTGATTTCTGAATTAACATTTGTTTGGCGTGTTATTGTATCTTAATTACAAGTAACAAATTAGTGATTTGTTGCTTAATCTGTAATACTGAACGAATAGCTATGGGTACAAAAATCAGTAGCTGGGAAACGTGATTATGGAAACTAAATTACAGAAAATATATATTTATGTTTAGTTATATTAGGTTCACAAAATGGGCATTCTCTTTAACAATTCTCCATTGACAAATTACAATTTTATGAGATTTTTAAGCTATCAATTTAAAATAATTCTCCTACACTGCTTCAATATATTTAAATAATTGTATTAAGGTAAAAATATCGTATAATAATTTGTTTCATTTAATGATTAATGTGAATCACTTGTTTTAAATATTTCTGCATTTCCTAAACACACTTTTCTCTTCTCTCAACAATTAGAGATTAACAGTTTTACACAGTTTATTTTGCAAAGGCATAACAAATTTGCATTAATTAATAATTCCAGTTCATAAAAACAATCATTCTGCAAGCTGAATTATGGAAAATCTGTACTGATCACTTCTGAGAATATATGCTATACTGTAACCTTCACAGCTTAAATACTGTTAGTAGCTCATACCTTCCCGAAATTAACTCAGAAAACTGAATGAAACTCAGCTGTTACATGGTTCCTTTATCTAATCAACACATATGGGGCGTAAACACTTATTCAGGGTTCGTACGGTCCTTAAGAGTCCTTAAAAGTCCTTAAAATTTTTGGAATTGATTTTTGGTCTTTAAAAGTCCTTAACTTTGGCCAAAATCAGCAGAATGCCCTTAATTTTAATCATCTGAATTTTTTGTCTGTTTTTATGACAACCATTTTGATTGTGAATTAGCATTTTGGAGGAATATTTTTAGCGATTCACTGACATATATGGTTATCTTTTGAATGGGTTCATGGGTTATAATTTGTTTCTATTTCTAATAAAAATGATGGGATACTCGAGTTTCTAAGCAAGAAATGAAACATAAACATTTTGAAATTCGTTTTTTTCTAATAAAGGACTTTTAAACAACTTTTCACTTTTGGGGATGTGAATTCGTTTATTAAACAGCTCTAAATTTGGCGACTAGTCAACATTTTGGCAATATTAGGATCAGTTTCTATAGAAAATTTTTAATTCTGAGATCTGACAATTTTTCGACCAGTTTTTTTAAAGCATCATAACGTTGATAAATTTCATTAAAATAATGGTAATATATTGAAATTATATGTAAAAAATAACATTAAAATAAAACATTCTATTTTTTGCTGTCATATTATAAAGTTTCATTTTGGCAACTTATACAATATTATGAATCTGATAAATAAGGTATATTGCTATAAAGCACAATTTACGAAACAGCTTTTAGCAAGAGCAAAATTAGCTATG